ATATGATAGTAAGATATCGATATTGACATATATATGTGTAGGTGTCTGTTTCTGTGCGTTTGTGTCTCTCTGTTTTCGACTGTGTTTGTCCATCTTCATAACTATTTATGTATGTATGTATAAATGTGAAAATACATGCACATATATAAATAGCATAAGTAGATATATACATATACACTCGCACACGCCTGATATTATATATGTATATGTATATGTATATAAATAAGTATGTATATATGTATATATATTATAATATAGGTTGATATTATTATTCATATTTATGTATTTTTATGTATTTTTTTATTGTCTGCGCCAGTATATTTGTGCCCTTGTATGTCTGTGCATATTTTTATAGATTACTACAGTGGTTTTATGTCTGCACGGAAAATACGCACGTATACTTGTGTACATATGAATATTGTAGCTGATATTGTCTTAATATATATTCTCATAAACATAGCATACATTATTGTTTTGCGAAGCTGGTACGAAAATACCGTTTTGTGACTCTAACTTATAACTATTCCACCATGATAGTACACATATGCTCTCAATGAAGGTAGACTACGCCAGATACCCGCCGCGTATTGTCGATTATATTTGAAAGTAGTCCGTGGCGCACAAATCAACTTTATTGCAATTTGTTGTAATTATTCGGCCACACCAGTGGTCTAGCGGAGAAGAGTCTCTCCGGCTCAAACGCCGAGGAACGGGCAGCCATCACCCAATGGCAGTCATACACACAAACGCATGTTGTTCCTGCCGCATACAAGAACGATGATGCAACCACAAGCACTGTACTGAAACATGTGGAGACCGCGCTGACGGAGTCTGCATTCATTGCCACACCCGAAGTTTCTGTAGGTAAGTTCAATGGCACGTGTAGAATGAGCTGTATGTTCAGTACCAGTTTCTTTCGTAGGTGTGTACTCCACATGCAGTGCCGCAATAAGATGGTCAGAATGTAAATTCAGGGACAACTGCAGGGTGAATGTATGGATTGGCAAGGTGGCATTCTTAGAGGTTTATAGTCGCTTAGTGTATAAGTATGATTTTTGCGGTGCGTATGCTACTGTTATATATTTGGTGGTATATACGGTGTCTGTGCGTGTAGCCCCGGTCCGATTCGTGTGGCAGCGAGTTAACCGCATCATCCGAGGTGAACATGCTTGTATCAATCCCACTTGTGGCTTGGAGTGGTGGTGTGTGTGTCTTTTTCTCTATTTTTTGAGTGCTCGACAAATGTCTAGTACTCCACTTCACTAGCGTTTCACCCGTGCCTTGATTGTTTTATTGAATTGTTCCACATAGACCTGAACACGAACGTTAACTTTAGCTAAACGGATTTTGCACCCTTTGCCTTATTTATATTACAGCTGATGTCGTTCTTGGGGCTGCCTTGGCACCTTTCTCCACTAAGTTTGAGAGCAAAACCAAAGCTTGGTTCCTCAACCTTACACGGTGTTCGAAGGGTGCGATCCAGCCAGTTAGTGCAGCAGCCAAGGATAAAGGTATCGGTATGTACATTATATCGTACTCGAATTCAAACATTGCAAACGGTAGGGGTGCATTTGCTTGCTTATTGTGTTTCGCATACACTAGTATTTTCTACGGTTAAAATGCACAGCGATAACATCCATCTCGATACCATCACAATAGCCAAAAGTGGAAAGGCCGAAAAAGATGCCAAGAAGGCAGAGAAAAAGAAAGAGAAACCTCCCGCTGAGCCCGAGAAAGATCCACTGTCTTTAGTGGATGTGCGCGTGGGTCACATTACCGAATGCAAAGCTCACCCAGATGCCGACTCGCTCTATGTGGAAACCATGGAGTTGGGTGAAGAGGCCCCCAGAACTATCATTAGGTGTGGCTGTTGAATTTCTGATATTGAGTTTCTGGAGTGCAGTTTTTTGTCACTCGCGCCGTGTGTTGTGCAGTTTGTTTGTTTTTTTGGAAGGGTTTCGGTCGTTGTCTTCTTTATGAAGAGTTGGATCGCCACACCGTTTTGTTACGATATGTTCTTCAGCTCGCCTCCTTGTGCCGCAAATTGAATATAGACCAAAATTTCACACCGAACTCGACATCTTGTCAAAAAAAAAATGTTGCACTACAGCGGTCTTGTTAAGTTCCAATCACTCGAGCAGATGATTGGCCGTAAGGTGCTTGTCGTGTGTAATATGAAGCCGGTGAAGATGCGAGGTATCAGCTCTGAGGGTATGGTGCTTTGCGCTTCCAATGAAGATCACTCTGTCGTTGAGCCGCTGACAGTCCCAGACGGCTGCAAACCCGGAGACTTAGTATCATTCGAAGGCTATGAGCGTAAGTGTTTGTGTGTGCAGTGCAAGAAACAGTGCGTAATACCTGAGTGAATTGTTGGAATGTTGTGGCTCTTCATATGGCATACATGTTGTTTTTCTTACCCTGCTTACCTGTGTGTGTGAGTTCAAACATGGCGCATTAACAGCCTACGAAAAGCACACAAGCGCACAAAACAGCTCCATGTGTTCCTGTTCTCTGCTATAGTTTTTTGTGCCATCCCAGTTTGTGCGAGCTACCGTTAGTGGGCTAGAATTGCAACGTGTATAGGAATAGCCATTTTATTTCACAGTCTTAAAATTGATGTCCGCCGCTGTGTTTGGTGCGGACTACTTGAGCGCAGCAATCATCTCGCGTTTTCTGTTTTGAGTACAATTATATATTTATCCATATATATATATATATATATATATATGTATAGTGTATATATGTGTATGTATGTATATATACATATATATATATATATATATATGTGTGTGTGTAGTTATATGTTGTATGTTGTATGTTATATGTTTTATATTTTGTGCTGCACATGTAAAACATGTATTGGATGTTTTCTGTGATGTTGTCGTATAATCACGTGCCAAGGGTTGCAAGTGCTGTATGTGAAACTGAGCCTCGCTCACAGACATTTAGCAGACCGTGTTTTGAAAAGATGGAGATGGGGGTGGGGGGGGCGGTAAGTGATATTTACCTACACGATACTAAATTCTCTAGCCCACACGGACATCTCTTATATTGACGCAGGTTGTCCTGTACCGCAAATGCCACCGAAGAAGAAGATCTTCGAAGCAGTCCAACCCAAACTCCACGTGATAGATGGAAAGGCCCTGTACGCCAAGAAGGTTGCCATGACTACCGAGCACGGTCCTATCACATGCGAAAAGATTCCCAATGCTACAATTTCTTAATGATCACTAGAGCGGATTCCGTACATAGCTTGGTCTTGTTAGCATACTGTCTGTGGTTGTCAAGATGAGAATAAAGAATAGATGACACTATAATTCATACCGCGAATGATTTCCTTTTAAGAGCTGTAGCACGTTTCTAATTGTTCCGACAGAGCATCCAGTTACTAAGGTTCTTCTACGTACTGTATGTGTCCTATTAACAGCACATCAAACGGTTATAGCATATAGGAATGAGTCATAGACAGCCATTAGATTTTATAATTCTAAAAGCACGTACCAGAAACATTTGTCTGTTTCCTCTACAACAGACGCCTGATCTATGGTAGCTTGTATTTGATATGCTAGTCGCAAAAGTCAAATGCAACGCGACATAGCTAAGCCTGTTTAAATAGCGTGTCAAGTTAGTTGACTGCTCGTGGAATGAGCATTGGTCAAATTCTGATTCGGAACTATACACTTTTACTATAAATCCCTTTTTCCGTTCTTTCATTCGAGTAATAGTGCTGGCCGGTTACTCACGCGCTCTTATGGCTTGATTCCACGTCTTGACGAATTCTTCGTCGGCCCCAACCACTGATTCTTGAGCCATCACCACACCAAATTTTAGTTAACAAACCACAACGATCGCAATGCGACACGACTTGACGAATTTGCCAAAATTCTAAAGGTAGGTTCAAACCCAACTTTATTGTTTCTAGCTATACTAATAATTATCTTCTACAGCGTCCTATACTGCGTAATTTCCCTTGAGCCATCGCCGCAGCATGGTTTAGTTGGGTCCCGCTATGATCAAAATCAGTTTGGACGCATCCTAAGCTCTCGGAGCATACAAGCACGTCGCCTAAGAAACAACTCAGACTATACACTCCTACCTCCAGGCCCATGTAACTTTCGGCTATGCGGCTCTTACACGTGTGCACACCAATACTGCCTGCATCAAATATCAAATGCTAGAATAGGGGGGTCTGCTACAAGGTTGCTCCCACTACACCGTCCCAACACCCGCTTACGCACCCTGCCCATACTCACAAACATTCTGAACGTATTCATACGAGTCCCTTTTGCGTGGTCAGTATGAGTGTGTGCGTGTGAGGGTTTTCGCCTAGTGCGCATGGCATTTTGATTTTACGCACTTACATGGTCCTATTGATATGGGTTGTATAGATAGAGGAAGCGTGTGCAGGCCAAAACCGCTGGTCTACGTGACACTAGCAAATGTGCCTGTGACATTACTATATACTAACTCACAGTACACAGCGGACAGCCGGCTGCTCGGAACACACTGCACGAATATAACTACACTGTTGTGTTGTTCATGCTGACACATCTCTATCTCGTTGGCCTCTCCCAGATGGCCAGACAGGCCAATGCACGCATGCGAGCTCTGGTTTACAGATGCCCATCTAGACATCAGATTCTCACCAAGCGCAGTCAGCGGATGTGACAGGAGTTTGTGCTGGTGCACTTAAAAACGAAGGTGCAAGAGGAACAGCATGCCAGGGAGAACAACCTGGTCAGCAGTGTCCGCCAGCACGGTGTGGCAATTCATGGGTCTGAGGAGGTTGCTGAAGTGTTCATGCGATACCTTGACTGCCACGAACAACGCTGCTACGCCTACTACATTAAAGTCGGTGTGGTGCTTAGCTGCGTATGCGCGCAAGCGGATTTACAATTCGATTCTGTGGCGTGGAAATAGGATGTTTTCGTTCATCATGCCAATCTACCCTGTTGCCTAAGGCGTAGGTATTCAAAGCCTTCGCTGGGTGGCGACCGTGAAATGCTTTCGTAAGATGCGGTCGTAGTTGAGACTCGATGTGTAGCTATATCTATACACAAGCTGATACCGCTCGAACCACAAACAGAAACAGCCCACTCCCCGCTTCGCCAAGACACTTGCACCAGGATCTGAGCGTTCTGCTTGGCGACTATGTAGAAGTGATAGCATGCTCCACAGTATGTGTGCTTTGACCCAATATTGTTGACAGACCCCTTGGGAGTGACGCTACTGCATAAAGCGGCACTGTGTGCACAATCGCATGCTGTGTTGCGTGATCGAATCAGGCATGCCCTGCCCTACGTGACGAGCAGCACTGCGTCATACAAGTCTGTATACTGTGGCTTGTCTTCTATAAATCTCGAACACTGGTACATGTCAAAGGAGTGCAGGCGTTCAATGGGATGCTATGAGTACACTCACGTATGGTGCTGATTGCCAATACCTGATATACAGGTATATACTAATCGACATGCGACACTCCCCTACATTCACCCTCAGGGTTTGGCAGATGTGCGTGCTCGGACCTGCCCGCTACTTCTTCTTGAACCCCTGGCGTCGAATCCGCGCCTGTGCGAGTCCTTCGAGTAACTTTGACTCCAGCACATCTAGATCCAGGACAAGATTGGTCCAATCCCTCACTACCTCAGTCTGACTCATGGATAGCTTCTGGAACATGGTGATGTCATGGTATCGCAAGTCTTTCCACTCAATTGGTATGTCCTGGTACACAAAATGGCTCATCTCATCCCACACAGGTTCCAAGTGATAGGACCCGATGAGAGGGTCGTAATGGTCCGGATACAGTGCCAAGGCATTTCGCCTCAGAAACCCTGAGAACATCGTGATACCCCCCGGTGCACTGAACACGGTATCCGCAAGTACGTATAGTAGCACTTGTGTTCGTAAGCTTTGCCCAGCTGGGGCCATGGTCACAAGAGTGCCTATTTCGTCCATACCCGCTATGGCATCCACACATTTCTGATAGTTCAGTATCTGTCGCGCATGCTTGCCCTCCACTTTCTCCAACACCACCATGAGGGTACGCCTATCACTCCCGTCCCCTTTCTTCAGCTTCACCTCCCCTTTGGCCACCATGTCCGAGAGCACTTCTCGTTTCTCTTCCGGATTCAGGTTCCACTTGTCGTACCTAAGCAAACCAAGCCTCAGCAGCACGTTGTGTCTGAATATCATCCACGACTCGTTCCTATTGCCGAGCAATCGCACGTTTGTCCTAGAAATACCCACGACTACCTTCTTAAAGAACAATGCTTTAGCCCCGTTCACGGGTTTAGTGAAGGCCTCGGGCATATCTGCATTCGGATCAGAATCCATGTCTGCCGGTGTTTGCGGTGCTAAGGTGGATGAAATGATCACATCCGTGCCCACCAATGTGTTGGTCCAATTACTATAGAATTTATGACAGCGCTTATACTGGCTCTTGCCCTTCCACATCTCCTTGAAGAACCCGAGATACATATCCTGACAACTCGCTAGCTTTACCAGGTGTATGCTGTACGGACTGAGCCCTACACTCGCGACCGCATCGAACGACGCAAAGATGTCATCGAACAGATAGTGGCCGACATTCTCAGGCCAATTTGGGTTGAACATCACGGCTGTGCTATCCACTGGAGGAAAGTTTGGGTACTCCGGTAAATCGTCGCCGTAACGTTTCACGTGTATTTTCAGATTGGACGTGCCTTCGTCGGGAGGGTATCCTGCGTTTACGTTTACCACAAACCGGTTCTTCTTGCCCTGTTTCCTTAGAAACCGGTGCAGCGGCGTTGCCTTGGCTGTGGGTGGCAGTGAGTCGGTTCTGCCCACCCCACTAGTGGGACGCTTGAACTCTTGCACCATCAAGTCGGCTGTGGTACCTTCAGGTGCGAATACTATGATCTGGCCTTCGTGTATGAGTGCGTTTGTGAACACACACGTGCGTGAGGTCCATTTGTCGGGTTCATCTACTAGTGTGCAGTGTATGGAGGATGCGAGACCGACAGGCACGCGTTTATACTTGAGAGACCGGTTGCCCTCGGCTATATTGTTCTGGATGTACCGGTAGGTGGAGTACACTGCTACAACACTCAAGAAGACACATATCAGGATGACTGTCTTCCGACTGGTTGAGTATATACTGTACACATCTAAGTTTCTCCTGGTAGTAGGTACTGAGAGACTGCGAGAGGGTAGACGATGTGGTAACCTTGCACTTTGCGTGCGCATGATTTTAGGCATAACTCTATTTGTGACTGTGAGAATACAAATTCGTTTAATAAAGCAGCAAGGGTATGTATAGATTAGGCTATCTTAGTTTACAATACTAAATGCAAGGATGAGGGATTGAATGTACGTCGAACCTGATGCTCTCCAACCTGTCTCAACAAGACCGCGCACAACAACAGAGACGTCGCTTCACTAAAAACGTGGGCTTAGATACGCTCATCGTTGAGTCCAGTTGCATATAAAGACCGTTATATTCCTGAAAAAGCTACCAACATGCTATAGTTCGTCATGGCATTAATATACATACATATATCCGTGGTTGACTTAATGGAGCATGTTATTTACAACTTATTGGAACCCCCAGAAGATAATCTAACTAAATTTGCCGCCAGTATTCGCATTTGATATGTGCCGACTCGAATGGACACGGGGGTCGGGGGGGTATGTATTTTGTAAATATGTAAATATATACTTTGTCCTTTTTTTGTCCTTTTGTCCCACCAGTCACAGTTCACTCACTATTTATTTTTTTCGTTCCCGTCTCTCACACTCAAGTCAGTCACGGACTTCTCAACTTCTCAGTGAAGTTCTCACTCGGCTGAAGAAGCAGCGGAAAATAAAAACATTGCGAGTTCCCTTTTTGAATTTTGGCGGGAGCGATTTCATCATCAAATATATATATATATATATATATATATATATATATATATATATATATATATATATATATATATATATATATAATAAATAATAATATATATAGTAGTAAG